TATACATACAAATATGGTATTTGCCAGCCTATTGGACGTACCTAGATTTTGGCATGGAATATTTAGATTTTAAAAAAATGGACACATCACAACAACAAAAAAAATCATAATTATGACCTTAACTTTATGTGACATTCTGACTAACCATGATGAAACACTTACCGTATTAATACAAATTTTTCTACTGGTACTTTTCTTTTAAAGAAATGATATAAGCTTTACTTACCAGGACATTTTTTTGGAAAAGAAGAATTTTATTTCATTTCATCATGCATTTATTTAAAATTGTTTTAGCTATTTTTTTCAGGGTGCAACATCTGAACATACAGTAAATTCATAAAAGCTACGAAGAAATCTACTGGTGTCAGTGAACTCTGGTACATATGGTAATAGACAAAAAAAACAAAAAACAGAAGAATTATATATTTTGGCAAATGAAATCCCATTCTATACATGCAGAAAAGCAGATTCCAATACCTTTATATCAGCAGAAACACACACAAAGCAAACAGCAACATACTAGTCAATGCAAATAGTTCTGCAAAATCTGGTATTTCTACAAAACGAGCAGCAAAATATTTTTGCAATTCCATAAATTTCTTTTTTTTTTTTTTTCTTTTCTTTTCAGGGATATTTTTATTGATTCCATGTTTTGTTTTGTTTTTTTTTGTTTTTGTTTTTTTTTTTTTTGTCATCCAAGAGTCCTAAAAAAAAAGGCCTATCAAGGTTCTGTAAAAACACTGATTCCTGATGAACCCCACTTTTTCGTGGTCTTTATGTCCCTCAAAAATAATACATGATACTAATATTGGACGCAAAGTAAATTTGGTGCAAAAATTTTTTTTAAAAATTAGTGGGTTCACGTATTTTTTATTAATTTTTTTAAGAAATGGTAAAAAATACAGGAGAGCAAGTCAAATAAAAAAATACCATTAAAAAATTAAGTTTATCATTATAAACACACAAATATCCGTATGCTATGGGATCTATCAGAATTTAATTCCTAGAATGATCCTGGGAAAGTAAAGTCTGGTCAACAAGTCACTGTTGGTTTCAGTCACTTTCCAAGTACTGAGAATCAGGGCCCGTGTAAGGGTCTCGTAAATCCGCCCCCCCCAACACACACACACACCAATCTATGATACGGAGCTCAACTCTACTACATCTCAATATTCATAAGCTACTATTCATATTAAATACAAATTTTATTATAACCTAATCATGTACAATAATGGATCATATGCAATATAGGTGAACAATTCAACTAGAAAAATTTGAAATAAATACAATGTATCTAAATACAAATTTTAGAGTCATGTCATACTAGATAATTCCATGTTAAATAAATCAACAATGTTTTGCAACAATTTTTAACATCAACTTGAGATTTTTCTCATTAAAAAAGTTGAAGAATTTTAACACATTCAACATTGTGGTTAAAAAAAATAGAGAATTTTATATAGTGCTTTTTTTTTTAGACTTAGCATGAGTAAAACAAATTCACAGATTTGGACGAAGAAAACGACATCATTTTGGAACCCCAGAATGACATCAAAATCCGTGAAAATTTCTCATCATTTAATAGTCAAGTTGTGCTTTGTTTAATTTGTAACATATAAATAGAGGCAGAAAAAAAGCAAATGTTAATAAGATAGTGAGAGTCACAGAGCAGTGCTCGGGGCCCCTCAATAAGGCTTACCATACCTCGGCCAAAGGATCTAGTGGGGAATACACCCCAGCCCTGATGCTTAGTGCAATTTCCAAATCACTGTAGACATATAGTAGCACACAATTTAACACATTTTGTGTCTTATATTTGTTATACCGTGTATTTTATATAGGGTTTTTTTTATATATATATATATATATTCATATTAGGAATATATAAAAATATATAAAGAAATAATCAAAAATAGAAACTGATTGATTCTATGTGTGATTATTTCTTATATATATATATATGTGTGTGTGTGTGTGTGCTCACGTCTTCAAGACACCAGAAATGTCAGCCCAGAGTGTGTAACTAGTGCTTAGCAGGGCCGGTGTAAGGGACTTGTTGGCACCCCCATGAATCTATAATACCACCCCCTCTACTGCATCACAATTTTCATAAGATTGTATTCATATAAGATACAAATTTTATTATAACCTAATCATGTACAATAATGGATCATATGCAATGTAGGTGAACAATTCAACTACAAAAATTGAAAATAAATACAATGTATCTAAATACAAATTTTACACAAGTCATACTAGATAATTCCATCTTAAATAAATCAACAATGCTTTGTGGCAATTTTTAACATCAACTTGAGATTTTTCTCATTAAAAAGTTGAAGAAATTTAACGCTTTCAACATTATGGATAAAAAAAATAGTGAATGTTATAAAGTGTGTTCGTGACTTAAGATGAGCAAAACAAATTTACGGATTTATAAAAAAAAAAAAAAAAACAGAATGACTTCAAAATCCGCGAAAAGTTTTCATCCTTCAATTTTCAGTTGTGCTTAGTTTAGTTTGTAACGTACATAAATGCAGGTAGAAAAAAAGCAAATTTTGATAAGATAATAAAGGTCACAAGACACTGCCCGTGGCCACCAATCGGTCGGGGTTTACGAGGGTAGTATGCACCGGCCCTGCTGAGAATGATGGTTTCATTAGGGAAAACATTCACCGAACGCATTTTCCGGGAAACAGTAATGTATTCACGTGTTGCTGGGTATCATAGATGCCAGCAAATCTTGGTCCTTTCAGGATATTTTTAAATTATTGGAAATAAACAAAAATCAGAGGCGGGAGAGTGTCGGGTGAATAAAGTGTGTGACCCATTTTGTTAATGGATTTCTTAAGCGAATTCCTAACGTATCATTTTTCTAGTTTCTATATCCTATATTATAGCGATTTTAATAAGTGTACTATGGAGCTCTTAGTGAGGATCTGTTTCCCTATTCATATTTTGTTCTCCTGTCTACAGTCGCGCACATAAAATCTGTCCAAAATTGCATCTGTTCCATCATAAAAAAATAAGGACGTGAAATGTGAAATTAGTAAATACTAAACACTTCAGATAGCCCGACGTATGGATCATTTGTAATAAATTTAGTATACGAGATTAGGGAACTGAACATAGAATAGACTGCGCTAGAATAAGTTCCTTCCAAAACTGAAAATTGCTACAAAATCACAACATCAACCTAAAATCTCGAATCCTGTTCAAATAATCTCAAGACATTCATATGGGCGTCATGCAAGGCGCCAAACACGTTCAGAAAACTGTCGACTGTATACAATAGCTTTCTTAGATCAATGGTTAAAATGGTTTTGAGTAATTGAAACAAATACCATCCTTTTTTGAACATTCTGATTTGCCGCTACAGAATCGCAAAGAGCAGGGTTTTTTTTCTGCGGTAGGTTGCCATTTCTTTCTGCGGCAGACCAGTTGCCATCCAAGGCTATAGAACCCGATCTCTCCTGGTATTTACCCATTTTCGGGGTGGGGGAGAAGAGGATTCATACCTTTCTCAAGGGTATTATCACGTAAGTGAATGTAATGGATTCGACTGGAATTCGAACTCGGCTCTCCGATTCATCAATCCGAGCCTCTATCCGTTACAACACCGTGAACTATACCAAATAGCAGAAAGCACATCACTTGAGGACGACCAAAAGCAGCCACAACTAAAACGGATAACACACGTGACGCGAAAAGAAAGTAATGACATAATCACGTTGCTGACATTCCACACTACTTCAAACAAAAGATTAGAAAGAAAATACCCATCAGTACCGGAAAGAGTAATAACAGCTACTGGACTTAAAAAAAAAAACTCATTTTCTTGAATCATTTTAAAAGGGATTTTTTTTTTAAATTTCAGCCAAAAGCAGGCTTAGCTGTTCGGTCAATGAATACCAAACTCTTCATTAAAAGAAAATAACTGTTACTAACATTACAATTTGAATTTTCGAATGTCCACTTATTAGGGTATTGTACACAGACTCTCTCTTTCTTGAAACCACTTATAACTATAAGAAACACTCGATTTCTTCATAGCATGTTTAACATAAGTAATTTTTAAATAGTAAACCTTTCACGAGCACTTTTACCAATTTTAATCGAAAACACCACGTTAACCTGCTGCTACAGGTTCCTTTCACTCATTTTCCACCGAAAGTATAAAATGAACACGTAAAACTTCCTCTACAGCTCGGCAATGAATAACTCAAAAAAGCGAAATTTTGAACATTTTCGAACCCAAATGTTTGACAGGGATCGTTCCAAATATTTTTTTTAATTATTAATGCCCTTTAATATGTCCGTTTGTATTACTTTAATAAAACTTATCTTGATACTAAAGAGGACCTTAATTTAAAAAATCGTTTCTCGACCTGTGTGGCCGGGCACACTATTGCGTCCTGAAAGGTAGTCAGGCGCGTCCAAACTTAACTGAAAAGTAATTTATGAACTATTTTATATTTAAACATCTATATTTAAAAAAAAAAAAAACTACAGACACCAAGTACAGGTTCCATATCTAATTCAATGCGTAGTCATTTAGTATTTTAAAGTGGATGCTAATTTCCTTAATCTTTAAGAAAGAGTTGATAATCTTTTCGCTTTTGCCTTCCTCGAGGGATTTAAATCAGCCATAATTGGACCCTCTAAAAAATAACTGTTCATAAAATCCTTTAAATGAAAACTGTACCGCTAATCTTCTTTGGGGATGCTGAACCAAAATTTTCAAATTTCATGACTAATTTTCCTTATTAATATGTAAAGTGAGCCCCAGAGATTTAGTTATTCTATAAGTGTGCCCTGAAGAAAAGAAAAAAAAGAAAAAAGAATTTGAGAAACACTGATTTAAAAAAAAAAAACGAACATTCTTGCATGTAGTCGGTCGTCACTGAGAAAAAGCTTACCCTTCTGGACAATGGTTGTGGAGGATTGTCGATGTATGTATCGGGCAATTTTCTACTGAAAACAAGTTTCTTTGAAGATGCACTTCCTGGACATGGCCTTTCGACTTGAACAATCAAAGGACCAAGAGGGATCTTTTCATCTGAAATATAAACAAATCACTTTAATTAAAGAATCCATAATAATGCTTTTAACAATGGCTGCAAGTGTTTCATTGTCTCCATTAAAATAAAAAAGGGGATCCTCAATCAGACCTACTTTCCAAAATATGAACAAACATACACGACAGTCAAAAAGTTTTGGGACCACTCTGCATTTCATTAAAACTATCTTAAAATGAAATATTTTTGTATTTTTTTAAAGAAAAATATAAAATTTTTAATAGCTAATTTTTGTGACGTACGGTAACCGTTAATAGTTAAATATAGCTCAAGACTTCCAAGTTAAAATAAGACAGTATTTAATTACAACCGCAAATAAATACGTAACAAGAACAAAAAGTAAAAGTCAACCAAAGATAATTAACCATTTTAGTGAATACCTTTTTAGTAGCTTCACGTACGTTAAATCCTAAATCAAAAAACAAATTATCGACGCACAATAATTCACACTAATTCGACTGGATAGTTCCACTTAATAGTCACTCAATAACCACCCAATAATCACTGCAGTCAATAGCCTGACACCACTATTTGTACACCTGGTTGAAAACATATTTATAAGTCCAGAGTGTCAAGCCCCGAACCAAGTGTCGTTAGTTGCTCATTTTCTTCCTATATAACACTCATAAAATAACTAATTCAACAAATACAATTTACGTATTTTTTTTGTCTTTCAACAGACTCCTCTTACTACCAAAAAGTTCAAATTTGGATTTGTCTGTCCACAATACATTTGTGCTAAATTATGAATATTTTGTATGACAAACATATTTTGTTTTCACCGTTAACCCCTCAGTAGACATTTTAAAATTGCCAAAAGGACTGAAGATTTGATTCAGATCAAGGGAATCGCGAAAGAACAATACCATTGGATTTCACAAAGACATACTATACCATCTGGTTTACGTATAATTTGAAAAAAGAAATCACCTTTCAACAAGTTAACGATACAAAACACACTTTTAAATTACGTCAAAATTATCTCGTGCAAAAACATAATGGACAACTTTTAGAAATTATGACTTGGCTGCCTCAATCTTCTGACCTCTCGCTCATTGAATTAGTATGGGATGAATTAGATAGGAGAGTTCGGAGAGAATACCCAAAGCGTGAGCGTGAGCTTTTTCCTTGCTAGAAGAATGCTTGGGAATGTCTTTCATCTAATTTTTTTTCAGAAACCTTTAGAAAGAATAGCAAGAATACAGTCATTATGGCAGGTGGTGGTTTTATTGATGAGAACAAATATGATCATTTTTACATGGTTAAGTGCTTATTTTTGGCCAAAATAAAAGCAAATACACTGAAGTTACTGAGAGTTTATCTTTTACTTTAAGAGAAATACAAAAACATCTCACATTAAGGTATTCTTTAAAGAGATGCAGGGTTGCCCAATCTTTTTGCCTGTAGTGTACTTTTTAGAGATTCTAAGACGGCGGTTCAACAGCTGCTAAGCACTATCCTTGTAGTATTCAGTTTCCTGTCTTATTTGAAATGTCTGTCATAACAACATGGATTCACTACAAGACCATAGGTCACGCTAAATATTACGGATACTAGTTCTATACCTATTGCTTTGTTGAGATGATCAAATTCCAAATCTAATTTTCTTTATTTAGAATAGTAAATTTATTTAAAAAATATATTCAGTTTAAATACAGTATGAAACAAGCAAAATGACTCCTAAGGACCGCACATTTTGGCTTAAATTATTTTCCTGCTGTTTTTCCTATTAGCCAAGGTTTGTTGCCAGAGAGAAATGCAAATTAGCCCTCTCGAAATAACTACCCATTTTGATTTTATTCCAACTGTCTGTGCACGTACGGTTGTATGCATATATCTTTTATTTATTGGCAGAACGGAGAAAATATTTCTAAAAAATAAATAAAATAAAATAATTCTATTTACCACCGAAAAATTTCAGAAAAGTCATAAATTTCATAAATATTTTTTAGGGTTTAAAAAATTTTTTTTTTTTTGTTTTGTTTTGTTTTGTTTTGTTTTTTCTCCAACTTCTAGATTTGATTGTTCAGCCCTGGTTAAGGTTGTCCAGGCTGAGTGGGAAGGGAATGTATTATTGCTATATGTGTATCTGCGTGTGCATGTGCTTGCCTATGCATTAAACGGCACAGACAAAAGCAACAAGTGACTCATGCACAAAACAGACATATACGCACGCAAAGTCACAGGTAGACTGTGTGTGACGGACAGAGGATGAAGTCTTCTTTTATCATATACATTATAGTCCACTTTGTATTCTATTGTAATTTTATCGTTGTAGAGAATAAGAAGTAGACGAGACTAACATCTCTCACATGTAAAAGTATTGTTTACTCACATACTGACTTCATCAACTAATATCAGTGAATAGGTGTGGGCTTTGGGTGTTTTCTCCGAATGAGGATTTTTCGAAAGTGAGAGTGCAAGAGGAACTGTTCTTTATCACTCGGATGAGACGCTAACTAAATCTCTCATCACAAACTTATCAATGTAACTAATTCTGTAGCCATATATTGTACCTCTTATTTCCGCTCAGTTTTGGACGAAAAATTTAACATATTTCTAAGAACAATACATGAAAATTTAAGCATATTTTCTCCGTCTTTTCTTTGAATAATTTTGTTAGTTTCTAAATTTGATGCCTGATTATATTTAGAGTTTGATATTCGTAACTTTCATTCTTTAATTACATAATAAATTGAAGATTAATTAGTTATCCTGATTTCCTATAAAATCTAATATTAATTTTAAAGCATAAATAAATTGTATATAGGGTCCGTTGTCACGTTATTTGAATTATCATATACTTGTAATTTGATTGACCATTACATCTTACGTTAAAATATTCCCACTAGTGCGGGGGGTGAACCCTTTAAAACTTTTTATTTTACTTGCAACACCATCACTTAACAAGATACCAAAAGTGTTGAAACAAAATGGCTATTTTTGTTGTAATATTATAATTTTTAAATATATATATATATATATATATATATATATATATATATATATATATATATAATACCAATTTGTAACTGGTAGGGATAATTCCAAAGAGGAGATTAATCCAAAGAGAGCTCAATGTAAGTTACAGAGCAATATAATAACAAATCAAGAAAAACCTTAAACTCCCACCTCGGTTATAATCATTTCATTAATATTTTATATTCATCTGTTCGGACTGAAAACATTTCTAAAAAACACTTTCGATCTGATGAGATGAATATAAAAATATTCATGCAATAAATTATAACCGAGATGTATTTTTAAGTTTTTTTCTTGATTTATCATATATATATATATATACACTTGTGTGTAAGCGTCTCATCCGAGTAATAATTAACATTTCCTTTTGTATCCTCAACGGAGAAAATACCATAGATAGATAGATAGATAGATAACAAGGAGGTGATCGCTCCTGGTTGGGTTGGCTGAGAGAAGGTGTCTCTTCTTTATAGGCGCAAAACCCTCAATGTCGCTAGGAATGAATATCATTGATCAAGATTCCCGATACAACGCCACAGCGTTGAGATAGGCATTATTACAATATAAGCCTTGTGGAATCTTGCGAACTGACGACCTCAAACTTAGCAGTGCTTATAGCTTCACGTCTATTCCGTGTATTTCTACTTCTTTTAGTTTTCAGGGCGAATTTCAGAATTCCATTGAAAATTCCATACTTACATTGGTCGTTTCCTCCTCTGGAATAGCGGAGAAATTCGAAAAACACGATCATATAATTATCTGATGCTGATATATATACGCCTTTCTTAAATCTTCTCGATTTGTACTTTTTCACATAGGATCTGCAAAGAAATTACAAAACGAATTCACGATTAAATAAAATCACAGCTTCCCGTCACAATAAACGTTTGCATTCACAACGTGTATCAGTACTTTGAACGCCGATTGGGGATCAAGTGAGACGCACACATACAATCCCTTGCTAAAGATGCTGCGAAAAATGGTCGGCCCATTCTACCCCCACCCCCGAAAGTACTTGGCCCTTTCTTCCACACTTTAGTTCAACCAGTTCAGACCTTTATAGCGGGAACCTCCAATCTCCCGATCAGAGGCCTTGCTGTCGGATGTGTGGTTTATGGTCATACCTAGGTCAAGAGAGACACAGAAGGTATGATACATCTGTCATATAAAACACAGTTCAACGTATTTTTGTAGAGCATAAGTGGCATATAGGAATAAAGTCGTTGCCGACATTTGGGTTTGAACACTGATCGCCACAGTCGACCTCATCTTGAAATAATTAGATCACGTGATGGGTAAAGGAAAGATATATATATATATATATATATATATATATATATATATATATATATATATATATATATATATATATATATATGGAATTAGCGGCCTCTGACTGAGTATTTTTCGAAGGAGTTACTATTATTGTATCTGTGATTTACAAAGTCTCTTCTACAAATGAACATTCCAAACAAAAATCTTTTTAGTGTGTGTGTTTTTAGTGTGTTTTAGAGTTTAGCGAGTGGTGTTTTTTTTTCTGGGGCTTTGTATCCCCCACATTTCTTCTGTATTCCATTTGTAAAGAGGAAGTTCCACTCAGAGAGCTTTTTGCACGAGAACTGTTACAACGCATCGCGTGAAATGCTAAACTGAAGATTATAATATTAATCTTTTTAATTTTTAATCCTTATCCTCTTAACATTCACTTCCTCATATCTCCTCTTCTTTATCGTACACCTCATTCAGAGTTCTGACATAGATATTGATTACGGTGGGCCACGACCTCAGTATATTCACATACGATAGCGTATCTTCTAAGAAATTTCTTACTATCAAGAAGATAACACCAGCCCAGAGAAGCATTTACCTCCAGTACACGTGATGAAGAAGTGACCAATCCAGAATTGGGAAAAACTTACGGGCATACAACCCGAAGTGAAACCATGTTGATTACCCAAGGATCAGGCAACAGAACTTCTTCGTCTATCATAAAGAAACTAAATAATTTGGGCAGCAGATGGAAAGTATCATAATTAAGCACTGAAGTTGGTAATTTTCGACTTGATTTCAGTTTAAGTCAGTTTGGACATACAATATGTATATTATACTGTTGATTGATTGATTGGTTTACTTTTTTTATGGTTTATGAACAATTTGTTAGTTATTTAAAGCCGATACAGTCCTACATCCGGCTCCAAGGCCTCCGATCGGGAAATTGGAGGTTTTGAGGAGTGTGGAACCACCTCTTAATTGCTGTTGTTCCCAGGTCCACCATAACCCTGGGTGGTAGTACCTGTTAGGGTCCCAGTTATGGACAAATATGGAACACCCAAACAAAAATAAAACACAATGAAAGTATAAATAAAAGCAATACATTTTTATATAAGAAACATTACCAACAATACCAATTTAAAATAAAATTGCTATCAATACATCTTTAAAGCAAAATGACCAGCGATACATTTTATAATAGAAATACTAAAAGTACATTTAATATAAAAATGACCAACAATACATCTGTAGTTAAAGGCGTACGATTGCATTCAAAATACATTTAGTTGAAGCCATAAAATTGAGTTCAATATATACAGATTTCAGCATTAAGTAACCCATAGAGGTGTTGATATGCTGCTAAACAAAACCAACCAAACCAACCAAAACTGTACCACTCACAGATACGTTTTGCTTACGTATAAAAAGAACGACTATATGGGTAATTCAGATTTTACATACTCTTCTGTTGTATTTACTGTTTAATATATATCTATAACACTTGTTTTGTTATTTCTTTAAACATTTACTTGGTCAGAACATCTACACGACTAGTGAGTGTATGTCGGTTGACCAGCGTTCAATCTATTCGACAGTTATATTTAACAGCACCCCCCCACACACACACGAGGGTTGTATGTATCACAAGGTCAAGTTTACCGTGGGTTCTCCGAGCCCGTAGGCTCGGTCAAAAGTATTCGCTTAGAATACGTATAAACGGGTTCAGGGTCTGCCTACCTCCTCGGACGAAACAGAGAGTTTGTCTGTTACGAACAGTCTGGTCAACTGTTAGTATTTAACAGCCCCACGAGAAGGGATGTATGTGGCACAAGGCCGAGTTTACCGTGGGTTCTCCGAGCCCGTAGGCTCGGCCAAAAGTATTCCCGCATAAAAGCCGCATAAACGGATTCAGGGACTGTCTACCTCCCTGGACGAAACTTTGCCCTGCGGCAAAGCTTTGTCCGAGTTCCTCTCTGCCGAGACAGATAGTTTGACAGAAATGAACAGTCTGGTCGACTGTTAATATTTAACAGCCCCCCACGAGGGTGTATGTGGCATAAGGCTAATTTATTGTCGGTACTCCGAGCCCGTAAGCTCGGCCAAAAATATTCCCTTTGAACACGCCTAAACGGGTTCAGGGACTCTACCTCCCCGGACGAAACTTTGCCCTGCGGCAAACCTTCGTCCGAGTTCCTCTCCCCCGAGGCGAAGAGTTTGACAGTAATGAACAATCTGTGCGACTTCTCCCTCAGGGCCTTCTCTCCTACTAATCTTATAGTAGGCAGAAGAGTCCAACATAGAGGGAGGACACCACAACATATTCTGTATTTGTAGCCGAGCTACAGGTCAGAGTTGGCGCTTGAACTCATTAAAGACTCAAAGAACCAGAATTTCATCATATTCATAGACTCTGCCATAAGTTGTGCCGCTGAAAGAAGCAGAGTCCAAACATCTATGGATCTTAACTAGCAGCATGGCCCGGCGTTGCCCGTGCTTGATTCAAAAATCGTACGAATCATACAGCAATCGCTATCACTTGACTTAAAATATTTTTGCCCTGCTTTAAAGGCAAGGAAGGGCAAAAATGCATGCTTTACTTCTTGCCTATCTCACGTGCCTTACTTCTTGCTTATCTCACACTGCGAATTTTTTCTAATCTCTACACTAAACATTATATCTGTTACGAAAAAAGAACTAAACAAAATGAACACAAAACGATCAGCTTTAAAACTGGACTCGTAACTGGAAAAACCGAATGAAAAAAGAATGTTAACAACAAATACTTTTTTCACACCCAACCCAGTTCTGCGGAATCAGAATCAACGTTGAGTTTAAGCAAGCGAATGAGCCAATTGGAGTAAAGTGCTATGCAGATTTAAATTTTTCCCACTTGTGAGTAATGCAGCTATCGATTTTTTTTGCATGCTAGCATGCTAGTTAACATTCGTGTCAGTCAGGTGTTGGCTCTCACGCTGGCCAATAGAATATTCCTGCCTATTTGTGGCAGCCAGCTATAGGCTCTCACTCTGGCCAGTACAAAATGGCCGCAAACTACATGAAAACTGCCGTAGAAGCATGAAAAAAATCGATTATTTCCACTATCGATGGGAGTTGGAAAATGCAAAGTCGGTCTTTGCCTTTCCGCTAACTTGAAACATGTGCATGTAAATTTTGGTGCAAATCCGTCGAAAATTGCAGCCATGCATTCGTTACACAGAGAGAGAGAGAGAGAGAGAGAGAGAGAGAGAGAGAGAGAGAGAGAGAGAGACACACACACACACACTGCCTTTTATAGATAGAGATTATACGAGAAACCTATATTAAAGTAATTAAGCAGTCTTCGGAATCATGCTGGTATATTGAGCAATGAAATAGCAGACACACTAACTAAAGACACCGTCAACATAAAAATACCTCAGCAAAATCGTGTTAAAAGAAAATCGTAATTAACATGAAATTAAAAACCTAATAAACTATACGATATTCAACCAAATGAGGAAAATGGTTCCCCGGCTTCAGAAAAATAAGACAGGAGGAAATAGATTTGTCCATATTCCAATCTGACACATTAACAGATTTATTATTTAGATTTATCTATATTCCACATCTGACACACTAACATCTACTAAAGAAATGAAACTCCCCCCTCATACAACTGGTGTCAAATACCTCTCACAGTCGAACATATACTTGTAAGTTGTCATCATCGTCAAACAAAATATCAAGCAAACATAGAAAAGAATTCTTTCAAAACAGTAAACCAAAGAATATCCTTAACTTCCTAAAGGACACCAAACATATAAAACTCCCAACAAAACTACAAAAAAAACCATTAATATATTTTGAAAAGTGAAGAAAAAGGAAATAACCCTACAGATTTCATAAAAGGTCCCCACTAAAAAATAACAATGCAAAAAATAAATAAAAACAAGTATCAGAAAGTGAATATAAAATAACTCGTATCAGAAATCAGAATTTTTAATAACTGATTAAAAAGAAAAAAAATCTTTCGCTAACTCACCTGTACCCAAAAATATCACTGATCCACATATCACAGACACAAGCAACAAGTGACTCATGCACAAAACAGACATATACGCACACAAAGTCAAAGGTAGACCGTATGTGACGGGCAGAGGATGAAGTCTTCTTTTATCATATACATTATAGTCCGCTTTGTATTCTATTGTAATTTTATCGTTGTAGAGAATAAGAAGTAGACGAGACTAACATCTCTCACATGTAAAAGTATTGTTTACTCACATACTGACTTCATCAACTAATATCAGTGAATAGGTGTGGGCTTTGGGGCGTTTTCTCCGAATGAGGATTTTTCGAAAGTGAGAGTGCAAGAGGAACTGTTCTTTATCACTCGGATGAGACGCTAACTAAATCTCTCATCACAAACTTATCAATGTAACTAATTCTGTAGCCATATATTGTACCTCTTATTTCCGCTCAGTTTTGGACGAATAATTTAACATATTTCTAAGAACAATACATGAAAAATTAAGCATATTTTCTCCGTCTTTTCTTTGAATAATTTTGTTAGTTTCTAAACTTGATGTCTGATTATATTTAGAGTTTGATATTCGTAACTTTCATTTTTTAATTACATAATAAATTGAAGATTAATTAGTTACCCTGACTTCCTATAAAATCTAATATTAATTTTAAAGCATTAGTAAATTGTATCTTCGCCAGAAGTGTTTTCTTTTTGTGTGTGTTTGTTGATATAGATTAGATAAGATATATCCCCCACCATCACCATTATATCACCGCCAGGCAATTTCAAAATGCCACAAGTTGTCTACTACTCACCCGCATCCATTATAAAAAATAATATCCAGAAAACAGACTATTCAAAATTTTTACCTGGCATTAAATACTCTATAGTGATTGAAGAGCCGTTAAACAGAAACAATACCAAACCAATCCCATTAGATAAAGCCATAAAACTGTGTTTAAAATATTTAGATTTCGGCATTAAATAACCCACAGAGATGTTGATATGCCGCTAAACAAAATCAACCAAATTAAAGCCGATACATATTTTGGATTATATGAGAAAATTTTCTTGCGAGTGAATATTGCCTTAACATTTTGCCTTATTTTTCTGAATAAAGTCTTGGCTATGTTTTACTCTAAAACTTTCCAGATTTTACAAGTACGCAATTTTATAGGTTATTATGAATGCACAGGGTGCGATGGATAAATTGTTGTTTAAATTACGCAAAAATTAAAACAACACGGACATCTTATTTTAACACATATATTTAATAAAATTATACAAAAATATCTTGAAATACTAAAGAGTAAATTTATTCAATAAAATCGCATTTGGCTTCAACCATGACCTCCAGACGACTTCGGAATCTCCTGCAACTCTTCTGTTAAAAAATATTACACGAAACTCCTTCTTGATGAATACTGATATTATCCTTGCCTTCACTCCATTTTTGGCGTTACGAGGAGTTTTGTTGGTTTGTCGCTTAACTGCGCCCCACACATAATAATCAAGTTTGGGGGGGGGTACAATTTGGGGCGTTAAGTGACCAGGAGTGATGTGCTTGCAGAAATTGTCTCTCAGACATGACTGGGTTCTCCTGCTTGTGTGGCATGGTGCAGGGTCCTGTTGCCAGACATCAGGTCTTCAAGCAGCCACACTCTTGACCCAGAGCAGAACTACCTACTCAAGGTACTTGATGTGTGCTTCCGTATTGATTCTGAGGCCCTGTGGGAAGATGAATGGAGGCATAATGTCACCATCACTAGTGATTACCCCAAACACCTTCTTAATCAGCATTAGACTCACCCAACTTTTTCCGAATCCTCTGCACTGTCCTCAGATTGACACTAAACACTCTGAAATGTTATTCCGGCGCGAATGCCAAGCAGTACAGCATGCCGTGTCCAAATGTCTAAAGGAGTCAATTGCGTCATGGTGCTCTTTTTCTCACGGACAGTGCACGACTGACCCTACTATACTGTAAAGTCGACAGGATAAAAAAAAATAAAAATAAAAAATAAAACGCGTATGCGCGAATTTAAAAAAATATAAAATGGCGACAATTTAGCCATCGCACCCTGTAGTTGGTACCAATTGCAATGAAAATCAGAAATAAAATATTTGAAAAACAGCTCAAGTCGCCAGAGGCAAATATATTTAGATACAAGACAGATAGGTAAATCTTAACTGTTTTCTTTTTGTGTGTGTTTGCTGAAATAGATTAGATTAAGATATATCTCCCACCATCACCATTATATCACCGCCAGGCAATTTCAAAATGCCACAAGTTGTCTACTACTCACCCGCATCCAGACACGTAACTGAGAGCGAGGACCAAGAGAAGGCACGCACAAAATAACCTCATGTTGGCGACTGTAAAAAATAAAAATGAAGAAGCACTCAATAAACAGAAGTGAATTTTATACAAGCAGAATTAAAATAGAAAACTCATCAGATCATAAATGGAGATTACAGGGAAACGAGTTCAATTTCTCACTGATTCTGGTACGTTCATTTCGCACTTATAACCTTGAGAAAGGTATTAATTCATCTCATCTCCTGCAGCTATGGATTAAATACCAAGGCAAATTAGGTTCTCTTTTTAATTAATTTAATTTAATTTTTTTTAAATATTAAACGAAGCCTACATTTGTCTTTTTGTGTAAAACGTAAAGGTGTTAACTTCCTACAAAATCTAAGTTCTTACGTCAAACACAAAACCCAGTTGGTAAGGATAGAAAGGGAAAAGAGAACACATGCTTCTTTTCTCCCTGGGGTCAAAATAGGCGCAAATGACAAACAAGACTAAACCACTGCGTAACATTTTAAAGGAAAAACATTTTTTGTATCCTTAAAGAGGTTACAAACAGACAAAGGTAGTACTCGAGTGAAGGAACAACACGCGCCTAGATGAAAGAAAAAAAGGTTTATTGTAAAAGAGAATACACTGCTGAAAGACAGGGAATCGGGTGGCAGGCTAAAAATTCCCGAAGCAAGGTTATTTACCAACCGTCCCACGCGGTTATATGTAGCACAAGGCCGAATTTAACGTGTTGTATCCGACCAAAAATTCCCCGTAGAACCCGTATAAAACGGTGTCAGGTAGCTGTTTCCCCGAGACGACACTCTGCCATTCGATATAGCCTCGTTTGGGGATCCTCTCTGCCCGGAGGCAGAGATTTTGACCAGCACAGCTGGAGACAAATCTCCAATTCCCGAAGCAAGACTCAGTGCTCTGCTCACTATATATAGCTACTGATATAGTCCGTCCACATAGGCGATAGGGAGTGTGGGACATTTCATTACAACACCTCCCCCTGAGCTAATTTTCCCCATAAAATTTTGCTCAATACCTCTTTTTTGGGGGTCAGGACATAATTATTTGACTTTTTTCCTCTTCCTATTACTTCTCCGTCTCATCAGTATAAAACGTTTAATACACAAGTAAAGGCCAAAAATGGGGGTACAATACATAATGTACACAAAAATTTCCTTTTGTGCTCCTACTACGACAGGATAACAAATTTCTGACGTTACAAAAAAAGAGATTATCCATTAGATTTAAGGAAAAAAGTGTTACAATTTTTTAGAGAAATATACGGATTCATTGACCAAAAAAGATTACACCCTTTAAAATGAGTAAAAAAAAAAAAAATGGGGAAAAACTTTAAGAAAATAAAAATATTGCACAAATAAAAAGCGCATCCACCTCAGTTCTTCAGATGAATAGGAACTTCTTTTTCGAGGGTTTTATGTAGTACTTTACTGCAAAGTTAAACTTGACCCAACCTGTATTTACAGAAGAATTCGATAGCTGTGCTAGCACGAAGTCGCAAGTGATCGTCACCGAGAGTTGGAGCGTACTGGCCTTGTTCAAAATGTTGATCCCGCCAGATTATACATTCTCTCCCAATAAATCCACATAGTCCGCATTAAGCGCTCTCTCTCAATAACTGTAACTAAGGTCTGCATAGTCAGCATATTTGCATTATAAACCACTGATTGGGTCTGTGAGTACCTGAGCAGATGTCTGCAACAGGGATTTGCTGACCAGCCTAGGTTATGAGAAGCCATACTTGATATAGAGATTTCCCAATTAGATGTGGCACAAGGCCGAAAGTATGGGGTATCCAGTGAGGATCGAACTCACTACTCAGTCGTAATTGTTCTAGCAAGACAAGCTTGCGAACCATTACACCGCCTTGAGGTGCCAAACCATACTTGATATAAACTGTAATTTCTCGAAAATAATACGCACCCAAACAAAGGATCCACAATTTTAAAAATATATCTATCCCTATGTATAATACGCATCTATAAATTTTGTCAAAAAAAAAAAAATTACGAATACATTTTGTCGACCATGACAATAAGAATGAAATGAAAACTAAGCGGGTAAAATAATGTTGAAAATTACCATCGCGGTTTTCCCGATAAATATAACAAGAAATGTTATTTCACGACAGCCATGTTAACTTGATATCCTCTTTTCTTCAAAATTGGCCTTTTTATAGATTTTTTTTAATTTTTTCGCGAAATAAAAAATGCGGTTATTGATAAACATAAATTTATTGACAAAAATGTTACAATTATTATTGTTGGATTTAAAATGAAAATTGGGACAATATCTTTCTTATTTTAGAACAACAAGTATGTATTTATTATTATAAATCAATAACGAAAAAATATTTTTGTTTAAACCTATTTATAATACGCACCCCTACTATCATCTGTAATTTACAATAAAAAAATGCATATTATTTTGGAGAAATTACGGTAATTTGACTCCTCGCTCAATAGAAAGTATACGTTAATCCGTGTCAGAGTTTATTACTAACATCCATGGCACTACCACTACGACCTTTTTCTAACACTAGGAATTAAACAGAAGCTTAAATTCTCCTTGATGGTGTCAATCGATGAAAATGCTTTTGAACTTAGCTGTATATTTGTTTAAACTTTAACACACATTATACACTACTTTCCATTCCACTGCATTGTTTTTCAAGGCTCTTCTACTGCACTACTTAATTTCAGTCATGGTCATTTTCTGTTGCTATAGCAGGATTTGATAACACTTCAAAATTCAAATGCGCTATCATTCATTCAAGTGAGTCACTTGCAGTGGCAGGATGCATTTTTTTTTTCAAATAAAATCCTTTCCAGAATGTTATAGCTCAAAATTCATTGCCGAAATAAATAATAAAACATTATGTTATTCTCGTTTCGTGTCCAAAACATTAGCTTCTAAAACTTTATATGCGAAAAAAGATCTACAGATCTCATTCCAGAAAATAAGTACAAGGGATTGATTGATTGATTGATTGATTGGTGACGGACGAGTTCTTGTGGTGAATGTGGAAATTGTAACTTATGAGTGGGTCGTGAATCAGATTAGCTAGGTATAGGATAGTTAGTGTCGACCAGCCTCAACCCGTCCCCACTTTTTTCGGACTCGTGCCATAATTGTATTTTTTTAATGCAATAAATATTCAGAAAATAAGTACAAGCGAAAAGCAAAAAAAAAGAATGTGTATTTAAAATCAAAACAAAAAATGTTTTCAATAGGAAAAAAAACATTTTTCTTTATTAGAGATTTAGAGGAAAATATAAAATCGGGAATCTATAAAATTTTGCATCTGATGTAGCCGCACCCCCCCCCCCACAAATTTTAACATATGATTTATCCCCCACTTTTAGAATCCGATACAGCTCCTCTAATTTTAACATTTGATTTACCACCACACTTTTAGCACTTGATTTTGTTCATCCTACTTTTAACGTCTGATTTAGACCCCGCGACTTTTAGCGTCTGATTTCGCGAGCGACCATGTCAGATTTGCTCCCGCACGATAATGATTGAAAGCCTCTTAGCAAAAACCATGACTGGTGCCACCAGGATATTACGAAAGGTCTCTCTTTGCCTACTGCAAGAGTCTAACCGTCGTTGTTGTCATTAGAACGACATTGTTTTGTGGCTTTTTTCTTTCTTTCTTTCATTTCCTGCTGCCGCGTTTGTAGTGACAGCACAAGCCAACCGACTTGACATCTGCGACTGGTGGAATGTTGTTGTAGACGTCATTTTTCAATATACATACATACACACAAACATATATATCATTTCCATTTGTTATTATTTTTAATCAAGCCTGTTTTTTAGCTATCTTGCTTAATATCTATCTATTTATATATATATATATATATATATATATATATATATATATATATATATATATATATCGCAGTCTGTTCATACCTATCTATCAACATATCTATCTCAGTTTATTCATACCTATCTCAGTTTATTCATATATACCTATCTTAGTTTATTTATATCTATCTATCTCAGTTTCTTAGTTTATTCATATCTATCTATCTATCTTTTGATTTGAACCATTTTAAAATTGCCCAGAGATTTTATTTAAAGCCTAAAATATTTTCCTTACATTTGGAACACGATATCAATAATAAGGGTGGTTCGACTCCATAGAAGTAGAGGTAAAATCTAGACTGATAAAACTAGATAGAATAGATCTCTTCTGAATATTTAGAAGTCATAGAAACAGATCTAGAGTCGGGATAGTCTTGCAACGCTGTGTCTATGAAAAAAGAGGCTCCTTGGCCATTACTAGCAGGAATTATTTTTTTATTATACTTGCCAGAAATATTTTTATGTTTTAAAAAACATAAATTGAAAATTTCCATTTTGTTCATCCTCATCACCAGAAATATTTTGATTCACAACGCAGAAAACGTCTAAAGCTAATTGGAAAGTGCTGGCAATATGGTAAAAACAGTGAACACCGACAAAAAGTCATAATCTTTTTTTTTTACACTATTGTTCACTCAATACAAAGCCTAAGAACTACTCAAGGTCGAGGTTGACTGAATGAGCTTGTTTTATGAAAGCAGGAATAAATGGTCAGAGAAGCCCCGTCTCGGGGTTTTGTTCTACAAAGTAACAATTGCCAGGAAGAAGAAATCCGAGTGGAACTTCTTCTTTTCAAATGGAATCCAAAGGAAAAGAGGATGATTCAATTCCTTTTACATTGCATAACGGATCTTCGGTCAGAATTGGTGGTGATAAAAAGTTCAAATGCAACCGACAAGAAGAATACATGAAACTCTTGTTTCATTTTCCACTAACGTCAGAATGTATAAATTATTATTAATATTAACTGTTTCATTATAAGGAAATATGCGGCATTTGTTGACTGTCCAGCCAGTGTTACCGTCTGTTGGAATTCATAAAAAAATTTCTGGTTCCCAGACTTCATGAGTTCAAGCACCCTACGAGGCTGACATCCCACTCTCACCCTTTCACTGTCGAAACTCTTAGATGTAGCCGTCTCTTCTACTCCAATAGCTTCATGTCTGTCGCCTGTGGAACTCCCTTCCCTATTCCAGTTTCCCTGAGAGCTATAATCTCCAGCTATTCAAATGTAATGTCAATTGACATCTCCATTTGCCTTGATCTATCCACTATCCTTCTCCTCATCCTTTCCTCTATCACTCCTATCTGATCTTGCTCCAAATCTTCTGTAACCCCTTGCGTCCTAGTGGCTTCCCGCCTTGCTTGGGGGTGAAACGCTTAAAAAAAAAAGTTACTTTCTTTTCGTATTACATGAGCTAATCATGGGCTGCTGTTGAATGTCCTTAAATGATGTGGTTTCTGTTATTTGATATATTTCGTTCTGATTCTGTAACGCCAGTCCACAAGGTTCGAAGAAGGACTGTCCCCGTTAAGACTTCATTCACTCGACGTCATTTTTTACCACTGATTTTAGAAAACGGTTGTATACAGCGGACAGTTTAGATACTGCATATTAAAGTCTCGAACTGACGAGATTATTTGTGATTTCGAGATTTTAGTTTAATATCTCGGTTTTGTAGCAATTTGCAGAGATAACCCCTAGCGCAGACTAAAGGAAAGTGTTGACGTATTTGTTTAGCCATGAAAGTGTTGACGTATTTGTTTAAGTAACCCTAGCCATGATGTCACAAGTTACTTTCACAGTAAATATTATGGTATATGCCATACTTTAGTTCCATCAGTCCCGACATATTTTTTAATTGTTCACACCAAGTAAGGGTATAATGCCACTAGGACGCAGAGGTGGTTTACAGATAGTGAAAGAGAATGAGAAGACTTTAGTGAAGAGGAGTGCGAAAAAGATATTGAAAGAACAGGATTCGGGAAGACAGAAAATAACGATTGACGTTGCATTTAAAGTTTTTGAAGTTTGTAGGTGGCAGTGAAGTAAGAAATGGAAAGTAAATGAAAATTGTTAGAAATGAATCTGTTGCAGTAGAAGTGGCGGTTGCATTTAGCTATTTTAACAGTAAAAAAAATGTGTGACCTAGTTGCCAATCTAGTAGTATGCCTAGATTCATATGGTTTAGGCACAGGGATAAAATTTCATCAAAACTGTTAGCATGAAAATACTTGTAGAAAAGACAGAATGAAGCCATGCCACTGAAGTCGAAATGCCTGGTCAGGATCGACGACATTACAGACCTTTCTTTGAATTTTGACAAGAATCTTGAGATATACAGCAGGAGCAGCGAGCCAGTGATATTCGGACAACTGGTAGAATTACAACAACAGCAGACCTAACAATTGATTGAATATAATCACTCCACTTCATGTTAGTGGAAAACGTGAGTCCAAAAGGCGTAGAGTGTTGCTCCCCTGGAGGTTACAGCAAAAACAAACCATGCTTTTTCCACGGTGTCAAATTACCCTCATTTCTTCCGTACTCCAAATGTAATGAGAATATTCTACTCAGACCCCCCCCCCCGCCAAACAAGGACAGCTAATTTTTGGAACAGGTGCTTGTCTGAATACTACAGTTTTAACCTCTTCAAGCCAAGGGTCAAGCGTTATCTATCGTCCTTATCCTTATAATCTTCCTATTACCTCCTCTTTTTATTCATATCACACACCTCATTCACTATCTGTCTATCATGAGTGATTCTCCAACTTTGTATGGGATAAATTTTGCGAAAAAACTACGATTATAATAATTTGTAATTAACTCCTGGGTAAAACCATTTACAATGCATTTTTATGATAAAACCATTTACAATGCATTTTTATGATAAAACCATTTACAATGCATTTTTATGATAAAATCATTTACAATGCATTTTTATGATAAAATCATTTACAAAGAATTATTATCGTAAAATCATTTACAATGCATTCTTATAGTAAAATCATTTACAATGCATTATTATAGTAAAATCATTTACAATGCATTATTATAGTAAAATCATTTACAATGGGTTTTTTTGGTAAAATCATTTACAATGCATTATAATAACAATTTTTTTACAATACATTCTTACTGTAATACGTTCTTATTGTAAAATTATTTACAATGAATTATTAGGGTAAAATCGTTTCCATTCCATTTTTTAAAGGAGCATTTTATAAGAAAAGGCGTTTACAATGCATTCTTATAGTAAAATTATTTATAATTCATTCTTGTATTGAAATCATTTAGTAATGTTGCTATAATTAATTCTAATATTAAAATAATTTACTATGCATTTTTAGAATTAGGAAACATTTTTACAATAATATCACTTATAATGAATTCTTTGAGTAAAATTATTTAAATTTAATTTTTATAATGAAATAAACTAAATTAATAAAAGCGTTTAGAATGAAATTTTACAGTGAAATTATTTACAACTAATTTTTATAGTAAAAACCAATTATAATCCCGAAACATGTAACCCATTAGGCTCGAAGGGGCACTACACGCAGCCGTGTTTCCTGAGCAAGTTAGTCTGATGGTACCCAGAATTTGAATATCAGGGTTTTTTCTTTCCCCGCAAAGCTATAGGATCCAGTCTGTCCTGCTATTTACTAATAACTGGGGAAGATGAGATGGACTCATGCATTTCTCAATGGTATTAGTACCTATGTAAATGTAATGAACTAGATTAGGATTCGAACCAGACTCTTCAGTTTTCATTACTCCACCGTAATTCTGTATCAACTATAACGCATTATTATAATTATGGTCACTTACAATGATTTTCTATAATAAAATCACTGACAATGAATTCTACAGTAAAATTGTTCACGATTTTTTACAATAATGTATTATAATTATGATAATTTGCAATGAATTTCTATAATAAAGCAACTGACAATGAATTCTACAGTAAAATTGTTCACAATTTTTTACAATAATGTATTATAATTATGATAATTTGCAATGAATTTCTATAATAAAGCAACTGACAATGAATTCTACAGTAAAATTGTTCACAATTTTTACAATAATGTATTATAATTATGATAATTTGCAATGAATTTCTATAATAAAGCAACTGACAATGAATTCTACAGTAAAATTGTTCACAATTTTTTACAATAACGTATTATAATTATGATAATTTTCAATGAATTTCTATAATAAAGCAACTGACAATGAATTCTACAGTAAAATTGTTCACAATTTTTTACAATAATGTATTATAATTATGATAATTTTCAATGAATTCTATAATAAAGCAACTGACAATGAATTCTACAGTAAAATTGTTCACAATTTTTTACAATAATGTATTATAATTATGATAATTTGCAATGAATTTCTATAATAAAGCAACTGACAATGAATTCTACAGTAAAATTGTTCACAATTTTTTACAATAACGTATTATAATTATGATAATTTGCAATGAATTTCTATAATAAAGCAACTGACAATGAATTCTACAGTAAAATTGTTCACAATTTTTTACAATAATGTATTATAATTATGATAATTTTCAATGAATTCTATAATAAAGCAACTGACAATGAATTCTACAGTAAAATTGTTCACAATTTTTTACAATAATGTATTATAATTATGATAATTTTCAATGAATTTCTATAATAAAGCAACTGACAATGAATTCTACAGTAAAATTGCTCACCATTTTTATAATACATTTATAAAATGACTTACAATGAGCGTCTATAATAAAGTAATTTACAAAGTTCTACAGTAAAATTATTTTCAGTAAATGTTTATATTAAAATTACTTGCAATACACTTCTGCAGTAAATGTATGCCAACTTCATTTCTACAGCAACCTGAAAAAGTTTGCCTAAGCTCAAAAGTATAACACTTATGTCGAAGAAGAAATAATATTAGCTCAAGCCCCAGGGAGTCATCGCCCCAGGCAGTATCTTTCCTTCAGAGGGATGGGTTCATTACCCGGTGCCTGAGGCATCCCCAAAAGGGGACTGGAGCAATGTTCTGTACAATTTTTTTTTTTTTACTCAAAAGCCCGCATTAGAGTCCGACGTTCTCATACATTCTAGTCAGACCCGCACAGAAAAATATATAGTATTAATATTTTTCGGGAAATGAGTAGTTACCTTTTCTTCACTAAGCAACGTTTTTAAAGGGTCACCGTATGGAGACTTGTGGAAAAACCACAGCGAGTAGTATGCGTCTGTGTTAAGAAGCAGAGAGAAGTAAACAGAGAGAACGTGGCTTGCAATACTCACAGTTCTGGTGACGAAGAAAATATAAATAAACGATAAGGAGCGTTCGTTTTTATAGCCGAACACTGCCAGTCACGTGTTATTTGCTGTACAAACACTCCTCTCAAGTGCTGGGAAAATACAGACGCTGTGATTTCTCATTTCTTTGTTTCATAAGCGGATCTTACAGAAAAAATAATAACAGTAATTTTAACGACTTTATTTGTTTTATTTTGCTTTGCTTTTCGCATGTGTCATATTAGCCACAGAGAGGATAAAGTCTTCTCAAAAATACAACAGACCCTGCTCGTTGAATTTTGATATCAAACCAATTAGTAGCTGATATTTCACAATAGAGATCAAGTGACAGCAGGCCTCGTCAAATCTCCAACATTCTCTTCCAATATTCTATAATAACAATTATTATTATTATTTTTATTATTATTATTATTGGTCTTTTGGGTGTGATCAAAGTGGAGTATCCGCCCTCGGGCAGGTAAACTATATTTTATCTCTCAGCTGTCTGTCTGCGAACAGAACGGAACTGTAAATATTATTGCGAGGTGCACCGTCATTTCACTAAAGAGGGCTGTGGTGTGCGTGGGGGGGAATGGTAGTAATACAAATACCAACGCAACCGATTGGGCTATTTTTGGACCTGGTTAGGGTGCATGTACTCAAGGTCCCCACATTAAACTGACCTTGTGTCACATCCTGCCAGTCTCGGGCAACATAATTTTTTTTTCCCGCGGAATTTTCATACCAGACTAATGATATAAGATATCTCAAACGAGAGATCAAATGACAACAAAAAACCACCAGAACATTTTCTCAGCAATCTTACTGTTCTCTGTAATTATGCCGTCTCGATTTTCTAAACTCTTCTGTGACTTTCAGTTTCTACTGCATTTTTTGCAGGTTCTTTGGAACTGCTCCCGGTACTCCGGTTAACAAATGGCAAAACTGTCTCCTTCATGTTGCACAACAGCGTCAATTCCCTGGCAAGAGCCAAGCGATTATCTGTCTTTTCACTTTTATGTTTTCTTTGCTAGCTTATCGTCACATCACGTTTAAAAACCTGTTCCCGAATGATCGCCGAAGTTAAGCAACGTCAAAACTGGCCAGTACCTAAATGGGTGACTGTTTGGGAATACCAGATGCTGCAATCTTGGATCTCTAGCCCCTCTCTCACAGGCAGGATGTGGCGAGCCTCTCGCTATTCTATCGCTACTACCATGGAAAGTGCTCGGACGAACTACATTCCTTGTTTCCACTATGTCTAACCTTCACGGCTAGGACCCGCCATGACACTTACATTCCTTCCGTATTTCATTAGTGAGGGGTAAGTTCCACTCGAAGAGCTTCTTCCCGCGAACCACTGCTCTGTGGAACCGACTCCCAAGAGGTTGTTTCCCTGATCACTACAATCTTAACCTGTTTAAGTCTAGAGTTAACCGTTATCTTCACCACTCATATGGGTATAAACTGCTCCTTAACGTAATCCTCAACCTCGAGTTGTCCCCGGGCCTTTACAGGGGGGGGATCTTACTGTTAACAAACAACCGAAACTTGTGAATAGAGATGGCCCCTTTCCACTCCATGACAAGCCACGCCCTCACAATTCACGGTCTACCGTTCAAAAACTGCACAGCCTTGGTTATGAAATTTGGGGACAAACACCCCTCTTCCACATACACCTCTTCCATTATTTAACCCCTTCCTTGCCAATTATTTTTAGAAAAAAGTTTCATTTTCAGACGAATTTTTTATTTGTTTTTCGATGGAGTTATGGATAGCGGCTCCGACTAAGGAATCGGGGAGCAGACTTCGAATCCCAGTCGAATCCATTACATTCACTTATATGGTAATACCCTTGGGAAATGTATAAATCCTCTTCTCCCCCCCCCACCAGCTATGAGTAAATAGCAGGACAGACCGGGTTCTACAGCCTTGGATAGCAACTGATCTACCGCGCAAAGAAATGACAACCTACTGCGCGAAAAAATCTGCCTCGTCAGTCATGTATCGCATGGCGCATAACAGACTGACCTATTTCATATGATCTTGAAATCCCCCTGTAATTGGCTAAAAAAATCTGTTCGTCAGTCATGTATCGAAAGATACATGAATGCCCTAAGTGTGTATCACGCATGACACATAACTGACTGAAATATAAAACTGAGACACTATATATATATATATATATATATATATATATATATATATATATATATATATATATATATATATATATATATATATATATATATATATATATATATATATATATATATATATATATATATATATATATATATATATATATATATATATATATATATATATATATATATATATATATATATATATATATATATATATATATATATACCTATGGCGTATATATAACATATATATAAAAATTGGTTATATACAAATCGAAAAGATTCGAATTCAGTCGAATCCTTTACGTTAGCTTACGTGCTAATACGCTTGGGAAAAGTATCAATCCTATTCATCTCCCTCCAGCTATGGGTAAATAGCTTGACAAACCGGGTTCTACTGCAGAAAGAAATGGCAAACTACTGCGGGAAACAAACCTTCCTCGTCAGTCATGTATCTTTCGATACATGATCTCCTAAGCGTGTATCACGCATGGCATATAACTGACTGAAACAGCTTCGAATTACGTTGGAAGAAAACAGCCGAACGAAATGTATGTTATTTTGAGTAGATGAAAGTATTGTTTTTTTTCTTTTCTTTTTTCTCATCCATCATACATGACATTTCATATGGCAAGACCTTGGGCACCTCGACGTGGAATAATGGTTAGAAAGCTTGTCTTGCTAGATCAATTACGACTGAGTAGTGAGTTAAATCCTCAATGGGTACTCCATACTTTCGGCCTTGTGCCACATCTAAGCCGGGCTTAGAAAATCACCATATGGCAAAACCTAATACAATGAGCCACCGCCTATTCGCGGCTTCACACATTCGCGGATTTTTCTTTAGAACATATGTTCAAATTATTCGCTGAGAACTCCCTCGATTCGCGTATTTTTCGATAGAACAAGTGACTTAAAACATATAACAGTCTATTTTTATGGTAAAAATTGGCAGAATTGTACATCTTCATTGTAAAAAAAAAGCAAAACATGCGTAGTGCTTGGGCTTTGTTCTCTGTTGGAAGCTGCGACTGGGTTCTTAAAAGTGGTTTATGTTAAGTCTGGGTTGGGGCATCATTGCAGATTTGCTTTTAGAAAACTTTATATCTTATATTTTGTTTCACATATTTTATATAGTATTTTCAATGGTTGTATCGATCTATGCGTAATTAAAAACGGTTATTGTACGTATTAAAGAAAATTTACGCTCAGTGTATAGTCACCAATACTATTTTTCAAAAATGTTTTTAAAAGAGTCCGAAATGTTTCTAAAGTGTTTAGGATGAAATTTTAAGGCATATAGGGTTTTAACAATCAAAATAGGTACTTATAAGCACTTTTTAGTTGAGTGGCGGTACAAGTATTCGTGGATTTTAACTATTCGCGGCCGTTTCTGGTCCCTAACCCCTGCGAATTCGAGGAACTCACTCTATACGCATTCCGTTTGCACAAACTCTCATGTTAAATGGTGTCTATATTTTCTTTATATTGATAATATTCTCCTGAACGGATGAGCAGTTCTACACAGTGCAAATGTTGCATTTGTTTTAGACAGGGCCTGCCAGGGATCTTGTTCATATTCACATATATTTTTTTTTTACCGTACACAAGTATATTCATAGTTTTAAGGGACCACATTTTCAATTTCAAGATGCATTTGCTTAATTTTCTAGATTCTTTAACAAATATATTTTTATCTGATTGCGCTGCCATATCGACTTTCTGTTTGTAGTCATTAATCACAATGTCTGGTCTAATAAATTGATATGCCAGTAAGTACCACAATTTTCTAAGCATAGCTTAGATATTGCACAAGGCCGAAAGTCTGGGTCACCCAGTGAGGATCGAATTCTCTATTTAGTTGTAATTGTTCTAGCGAGTATGCCTGTCAGTATGAATGGTAAATTCCCAAAGAATCATGACCTCATGGTCTACTATGACTGTTTCCTGTTGATATTTAAACAATTTGAAGCTCGTGGGTCATTGTAATATTTATATAGTTTCCAATGTATATAACGCTACGACCGCACCTTTTTCATAACGAGGTCGATGCAACATCGACTCTAGCGTGATGGTGGTCGTGGGGAATGGGCCACTTTTGTCCTTGACGCATATACATATACAGGGTGCGATGGATAAATTGTCATCTAAATTACGTTGTATTTTTTCTTTTTTGACCTGTTTAAATCACACTGACGTCAGTAGTGGAGTTTAACTGCTTCTAAAGAAATGCAGTTCATATTAATGGGCTAATATTTTAATTTATAAGCCTACCATTCGTCCATGATAAATAGATAGATATAAATTGAATCTATCTATCTGAGTCTTTTCAAATCTCTATCTCTCTCTCTCTCTCTCTCTCTCTCTCTCTCATATATATATATATATATATATATATATATATATATGTATACGGGTGCGATAGATAAATTGTCGTCTAAATTTACGCAAAAAAACAAACATCTCATTTTAACATTTAACTAAAATTACACAAAAATATCTTGAAAAACTAAAGAGTAAATTTATTCAGTAAAATCGCCACTGGCTTCAGCCACGCCCTCTAAACGAATTCGAAATCTCCTGCAACTCTTCCGGGTGGTCTCCTTGTTTAAGTTGGTGAACGCTGCCATAATCCTTGTTTTCAGTTCGGTGTTACATGGAGTGTTGTTGGTCTCTGCGCTCCACATATAATAATCAAGGAGGTTGCAGTCTGGGGAATTAGTCGGCCAAATTTATGTGGTGATGTTGTCGCAGAAATTGTCTGACAGCCATGATTTGCTTCTTCTGCTTGTGTGGCATGGTGCAGAGTCATGTTGCCAGACATAGGGTCTTTTAACAACCACCCTCTTGACTTAGGGCAGTACTACTTCCTGTGAGCCATCGTGTTGTGTCTAAAGCTCTGTGGGAAGATGAATGCAGGCATTATGTTGCCTTCACTAATGATCACTCCAAACACCTTCGTAATCACCATTAGACTCAACCAACTCTTTCCAAATA